AGCGAAAGAATTGAGAAACCAAGTAGTATACTATATCTAGGGCGTAATGATTGTGAGTGTGTGGCAGTCCCAAGGAGTTCACTATTGCCGAAGAAAGTGGGGGGCAAGGTAGTGGAAATTTTGTAAAGGGAAATATACTGAGGGAGATACTCTCTAAAAGGAATAACGGTGGTGGGTATTCCTTCAGACCACCAGTGGGATCAGAAACTTCGAGTCGCGTGCTGCGAAGAACTAACAGCAACTAAAACCCAGATTAGGTGGTGGAAGTAGGTATCTCAGAAAATAAAGAGAAAGCAGCGAGTTTGGGTACGGAGAAGGGATAGAAGGAGAAAGGGTGAAAACCCGGCCTGTCCAGATACCACAGGGAAGATGAGAGGGATTTACCTCCGTTGTGACGATGCGCAGCTCTAACTTCCGACCACGAAATCATTCGTGCCTCAGTAACTAGAGTGGGACCCACAGGGCCTGCTGGCCCGTGCTGTAGCGGAGCGCTGTGTCTCAGCGCTTCGCTGGTAGTGAATGTTCGTAACTTCGCGAGAAACTTGGCAATGCTACACCTGTCTTGGTTACACTGGGAATAGAGGGAGTAACCGGCCGCCTCGCACACCTTCCCTCCTGAGCGGAGAATAGCACGCTCCGGAGGATAAGGAAGGTGATGCTGCCCCTTGTCTCCAAACCGGGAGAGAAAGGTAGGCTGGCTATGGTAGATCTAGGTTACCACGGTAAACACGAAGCAGCGCAGACGCAGCGCAAATTTTGCGGCGTCGCTGGAGCGCGCTCCGGGTACTCCCCCTAAAACGATTTCAAATGCATATGCATTTGCATTTCCAAGCGTGACGCACCAGAGCTGAGAAACCAGGATTCAGGAATGAAAGTTCCTGTAGAGTTTCCGGCGAGAATACTTCGTTATGGCACTTTCTTGATGGAAAACTGAGTGTGGGTTTTTTTCTCGGTCACCCTACTAGGTACTAGGCGGAAGGCTGTAGTTTTGGCACTTTCTTGATGGAAAACTGAGGGTTTTTTCTTTTTCTGTCGGCCCGAGCAGCGAAGGTGGCTGCGCGGTAACAGGAAATCCCCGGGGCATGTATGGGCCAAGTAAGCATGCAATATAACGTGGGTTTTTTTTTTTTTTTTTTTTTTTTTTTCAGAAAAGTACGAGAAATATTTGATTGTGTTAGAAGTTAGAAACTGAGGAATCCTATTGGATGTGGCCTATGTCTCCAGACTCTCAGCCTTTTACATCTAGTATTTCTCCTGTCATGATGCTGAATGACTCCTGTCATGATACTGAATCAGCCCATGCTATATATAGCTCTAATACCCTCCCTACCCATCTAGCTGTACCTTCTGTAATGATAAGCCTCTTGAGCCTTAACGTGTGGCCCGCACCCTTCAAAATGAATGACTTTGGGCCTCGCCACACCCACTCTTGAAACGGTGAAATGTTTCAAGAGCTGTCACTGCCAGACGTTTTCAAGAGTTTTCGGCCCCTGGCCATGCAGCAAGCATTCTTGAAACTTCCATGCTGCTTAAGACAAAGGATGCAAAGAGACAGTCCTACTGCTTTGCTTTTTTTCGAATGGCCTTCAGTCGGGATAATGGCCTGCCAGTGGCAACCGTTGATGTTCGAAAATCAACAGTCCGTCAAGGGGTCGGCCAAGGACGCTTGAAAACGCACGAGCCGTAGGCAGGCTGGGGTTTCCAATCTTTCAAGAGAGCTGCTCTGGAAAGGGGGTTTCAAGAGCCACTCTGACTCTGACAGCTCTTGAAAGCCCCAAGTTTCACGAGAGGCTGTGTGGCCATGCAGGGACTCTTGAAAAAGAGTTTTCAAGAGTGGTGTGGCGAGGCCCTTTGTCCTAAGCTTGCGCTTCGAGACGCGTTGCAGGCCGGTACATCTCCCCCCTCTTCGCACGGCGCGGCGCGTGCAGGGCAGTTTGCCTGTGAAACGTACTGGTGGTCTAAGAGGCGGGAATAATGAGCATCCACTGTGGGCAAAGCAGTGGCCGCCACTTTCCTACGCATCCCTAACCAAGAATCCAAATGATTTTGCGAGCACCTAAATGATCTACTCCCCCCCCTGCCCTCCCCCTCCCCCCCTTGGCACACATGTCAAATCATAGGCCTCCACCATGGGCAAGTAGCGCCCCCCACTCATGCATGCACAACTTGAAACCCAAACAAAGGAAGGAATTTTCCAGCACCTACATTGTAAACAACCCCCCTCCCCCTCCTCATTGCACTGCAGGCCACTGACATTTGGAAAGGTGAATGGTACTTCTGAAGGATGTCAGGCCCGGCGTGTTCTGACACCATATTTGGACACCATACGCAGGAAGCTGATGTCATGTATAGTGATGCAAAAGGAACAAGTGTGAGAATGGCCTAAGGAAAAAAAAAAAAAAAAAAGAATGGCCTAAGGGGGCTGCAAGCATGTGTGTGGTTGCAGTTGCTGGTTAAACCACCAGTACTTCCTTGAGTCGTACCCGTTAACGGGCCACGGTTTTAGGAAACGTACGGGCCGCTACAGGAGCGCCCAAATTCATCCGACTAGAAATGTTTCTACTCTTTTTTTTTCCACGGCAGATAGCTGGGCCAAGTACTGGTGGTTTAAACCACCAGTACTTCTGAGGCACTTTTTTCCTCCCTGCGCGCAAAAAAAGAAAAAGGAACCGGCTCAGGCCTCCTTTTGGCTGGTGTCGCCAGCCATTTTGCTCCAGAGTCCAAGGCCTGATAGTTGTAGCTGCATGCACACTGCATATTATTTAATTCTTTGGCTGGGAAAGGTAGTGGCGGTTTAAGCTCCCAGCGGGGGTAAACCGGACTGGTGGGATGCGGGTATACTAGCCCCGGTCTTATATATAAAGCACCGGACCACCTGTCAGTGCGTGGGTGAGCCCCCATCAGTCGTAGATCTAAACACATTGGACGCCGGTCCCATTTGTGTGTTTTTGCTTTTGTTTGAAACACCATTTCGGCCAAGCTTATTGCCACAAAGCTACCTTTCAAGGCTCCAGAACTGACATTTTGTTAAAACTGACATTTTTTCCTAAATTCACGAAATCGAGCATACGAGAAAAACAGTACTTTTTAGCGTTTTTTTGTCCCATTGACGTCGGACCATCTGATGGTCGGGCGTAGTGACGAAGCCTGATGATCGGCCCCTCGGATGTATTTTGACGGTACGGTACTTTTGGTTGAGATGTGCATCAGATGAATGAACAATGTGAGATAACCACTTTCTCTCTCTCTCTTTTTTTTTTTTTTTTTTTTTTTTTTTTTCCGCACCCAATGAGCAATGAAATTTTGACTGAGCCCACTTTTGTCAATAATTTACAAAAAAAATGTCAGTTTTAACTTTTAACGAAATGTCAGCTCCAGAGGCTGCAACTGGGTGCTTTCTTAGTGGCCTCTACAGCCCACTACCGCCCCAGGCCTGAAAGCGTCCTGCTTTCTTTTTTTTTTCCGTTTTTTTTTTTTTTTAAGCTCAGGGTGTTGTAGAGGCCAAGGACCAGACCCGCGGTGATTGCTGGTAGCGGCAGCCAATGGTTGTCCTGACAGGATAGGCCACCTCCCCTACCCATTCCCGTGTACCCCAGTAGGAGTCATACATAGCTTCAGGAGAGCTGGTAGTTTATGTCAGGTAGTAGGTTTTTTTGTTCGCCTTACAGTTAAACTTTTTGAATGAATAAAAAAGCTACAATGCAGCCCGTTCATTGGCAGGTCTTCTTTGCTTCTTTTTTTTGTTTTTTTTTTTTGCTTCGAGTTAAACTTTATACTACTTTACTACTTTATATGCGCGAGACCTCTCACTTTTTACCACCGGCACCTGCGGGAAAAAATAGAGTAGAACTGTAGAAAAGTTTCTAGTCGGACGAATTTGGACGCTCCCCAAGTGGCCCGTTCATTCATCATTGTTGCAGCTTGGTTTGCCGCTGCTACTTTAGGAAGTACTCAGTGGTGGTTTGTACTTGGCCCAGCTATTGGCCTCGGGAAAGAATAGATTAGAAACGTTTCTAGTCGGATGAATTTGGGGGCTGCTGCAGTGACCCGTACATTTCCTAAAATTGCGGCTTTGTTCACCGCCACGACTTTAAGAAGTACTGCAGTGGGGGTTTAACAATCATGACCACGGGTGAGACCTATGATCTATGATGTCGTTGACAACGGGAAAAAAGAATTTACAAAATTTTGAATTTACAATGATTCTACGAATGTTTGGTGTCACAGTATCAAATCTTTTGAGAATTCAAACTCACAAGAGAGGCGGCGGGCCCCACTTACTTGCAGGCTTGTTGTAGAGCCGAGTATTGAAGGACTTGGATTTGTTGTTCATCTTTTCTGCATTTCACTTTTTTTCAGTCATAAAAATGCTAGGAGTTAGGGCGTCGTTAGACATCCCTCGGGGACGCGATTCCAAGGATTCCGTCGTCGTTCCACCTGTCCTCAGAGATGAAATCGGAAATGAAAATGTGAAAACACTCCGAGGGCAAATCCTCGGGCTCCGAGGATTTCCCAGCCAAATCGTCCTCGAACTCGAAGGACCTCGCGAGGTCCTTCGGAGCCCGAGGACCCGCGATTAACGGGGTGTCGGCGCCTACTCCAGAACGGAAATTGGAGGCCGAAGGTGGTCCAGTGGTGGTCCAGCGGCCAGAAGACGGACATCCCCGGCCGTCGTAGTCGAAAACCTCCAGCAACGGCCTCCTCGTTTTACCGTTGGCGCTGAATCGCGGGACGGCCCTGTAGGTCCTTCGGGCGGCCCCACGGAGGGGCCGTGGAGATTGTCAGACGTCTTCGGCCGACGCCCGGAGGCTTCGTGGCGTTCCTGCGGGCTTCCCAACGGTCAGAATTACGGATTTTGTACGCGTCCTCCCCCTGCCGCTGCTCGCATGAATTTGGTTCGTTGGTGTCTTCCCTCTCGCACGGTGTGTCTCTGCTCACTGCGAATGCGACAACGGTTCTGTGTCGGCTGACCTAACGTTGATGGCAGACCTGTACCGTAGGCTGCCTTTGCTGCTGCTCGTCGCTCTGCTGCTGCTCATCGTTGTCGTCTTCCACATTTGTTTCCTCGGTCGCGTTCCTGGAAGGAAACAGACGCGTCGAATGCCGAAGAGATCGACGAAGATGGATAAGCTTCAGACGAAGACGACGATGTCGGTGGGAGGTGGGGGGTCCTCGCGTCAACGTTGCAACAGTGCGGAAGGCGGTAGGCGGCCGTACGACCCGACGCTGTACAGCCACCTGCCGTCCCACGAGATTCCATTGCCTCCGAGTGACGACGACGTCGACGACCCCAGATCCTCAACGGTTCCTCTGGGCAGCGGTTCGACGCAGGATTGGATGGGGAGCCAGGTGTACAGACACGCATCGACGCCGACGTACATTGGTTTGCTGGAGGGCCGGACCCCCGCTGGTTACGACGCTGGACTCGTCGATCTGAGCTTCGGTCTGAGGTCTGGGAGTGGCGAGGGTCTGCCGCACACTGTTGTCGTGAACCCGGCTTCTGCCTCCAAACACACATCACCTTCCGTGAGGGCGGCAGGCCCTGCGGATAGCCATGGATTCGTTTCGCCGAGGCGGGTGGCTTTGAGTACAGCAAGTGTGGCCGCGTCGAGGACGAAGACAGCTGGATTGGCAGGCTGCCGAACGACGACGCTAGGCGGTGCAATCGACGGAGAAGGGGACGACGACGAGCGCGACGCTACGAAGGTCGTCGGTCGTCAGTTTTGGGATGATGAACGACAACGATTGCGTTCCACGAACACGGTCGGCATAACGAGAGGGGTGGTGAGAATCAGTGTGGGGGCCGAAAACGAATTTGAGGACTGCGGTGGTGGAGGGGGCGAGGAGATCACTGCAGACGACGGCCGTGATGACAACAACGAAGACGACGACGGCGAGATGGAGATTTGTCCAGTAGGGAGGAAGCGTGGAGGGTCGACGACGAGAACCAAGGTTAGAGAATCGTGCAAGGGGGGGAAAGGCAAGAAGTGCGGCGAAGAATCGTGGGCAGGCAACGGAACAAAAAGCAGGGATTTTTGGACAGTGGAGCATATGATCGCTCTTATCATAGCCAAAAGAGACCAGGATTCGCATCTGGCCGGCCTAGGGCACAACTACGGACGAATGAAGACGAAGACATGGAAGTGGGAGGACGTGGAGAAGAGGCTGGTGCAGATGGGGGTGACGAGTAGGAAGGCCGTCGACTGCGGAAAGAAATGGGACAACCTGTACCAGCAGTTCAAATCCGTGCACAAGTTCATGGGAGAGTCCGGGAAGCCTAACTTCTTCACACTAACGCCGGGGGAGAGGAGGGAGCGGGGGTTCGACTTTAGGATGGATGAGCGCGTGTATTCAGAGATGAAGGCGATGTCCGGGGGCGATCACACTATACACCCCACGAATCTCGCGGACACGGGTGCGCCGGGAGGTGTTCAATTGTCTGGCGCGGTTGGTGGGCGAAACAAATCCGGCGGTAGTGACGTAGGGGGGGGGGGGTCAGGACGACGATCAAGGATCGACGAGGGATTCGTCGTTCTCCGGCGGTGGCGGTGGCGGGGCCGGCAATCGAAAGAATGTCAGACAGAAGACCTTCGAGGCGATGGCGGACGTCATGAAGGAGCACGGGGCGCTGATGTCGACGACGGTGGACAGCGTGAGCAAGAGGCAGTGCTCAATTCTGACGAGGCAATGCGACATTCTGGAGAGAGAGATTCAAGTGCAGAAGGATCACTATGAGAAGGGTGACCAGGCGAACTTCATGATGTGTAACGCCCTGATGGAGATTGCTAAAGCGATCCGCGAACGAGCTTGACTTCGGCGGTTTGATTCATGACTGTGAAGGGCGTTGTTTGCTTTCATCTCCTGTGGCGCGTCCTGAGGTTGTACAGCACGTCCTCCGCTTTGTAGATAGTGTTTAAAGAACGTTGTTGCGAGTTGTTGTCTCCACGCATGGATGGCGATCTTCCAGGGTCTTCTTTGGGGGTGTCCGCGAAGGTGTAGGCGGCAGGGTGGGTTTTTGGGGACGCGAGGGGAAAATGGCGGATGGGACTCACTGGAGTGCCTGGCCTTTTTGGGGGCGGGAGAGGACGGATGGGGGGCGGGGTCTTTGTACCTCCTGCGGGGAGCTCCTGCGCGCCCTCGTGCCTTGTTCGTCATGCGGAGGATGACCTCCGCGCCGCGAGAAAATTTGTCTGTTGCGAATCGACGAAAGGGCGGGCTGTAGTGGACGGCCTGGCTTGTCCATGGTGTGCTGCGAGACTGCGCACCGTACAAAAGGGGATTCCGGGAGGCATTCCATACCGCTGGCATTCCATCGCGATGGCTCCAAAGGCACCGTCTGTGCATGGTCTCGTTGTCGCAGGCCTAGTCATCCGCTTCGACGCTACGATCGGCGGGTTTGGGCTCCGCGGGCATCCTCGTCCTCCTGCATCCACGTCTCGCAAGCGGCGTGCCATCGGACTGATCCTTCGTCCACAGCCGCAGCGAAGCGCTGCATCATCAACGTCGTATGTCGGCAAGGTGCCCGTCATCGACCTCCCACCGCTCCTTCATTTGCGTCGTCCACGTGGTCCTTCGTCCACGTCAGCCAAGCGCCGCAGCTGTTTGCATTCGGCACGCACTTCTTTGTGGAAGCCATGCCACTGCGCGGTACTTCAGGAAAGGCGAAAAGGAACAGCGGATCAGGCGACGCTGGGGAGACCCAAAAAGGTAGAGGGCACGTGCCGAAGTCGAAAAGGCCGCGCTACGATGACGACAACTTCGAACATAGTGGGGATTTGCACGTCGAGGAAGAGTCGATGGTGGATGCACAAGGGGCTAACGTCATGAAGCGAATGGGGTTTGGGCGGGACGGGGTGTCGAGGGAGCAGCTGGCCGCTCTGAAGCAAGGCTTCGTCGGTGGTGTCGCCGTCTCGTTGGCACGGAACCCGAAGGCGGCAGGGATTGTCATGACGGACGCGCGCGTGGAGAGACAAGTTCCGCCGAAGGTCGGGCAGGTGGCGGCACGTCCGCCAATCCCCGCGCTACAGGCGGGGACTTCTGGGGTGGACAAAACATCATCCGCGCAAAAGGTCGACACGACGGCGGGCGGTGGTCGGATGGCGGCGGCGGATAACACCACCGGGAGCGGAGTCGCGGAGGCTGCGGAAGAGGGGAGGGTCGATGACGTCCGCCGAGATGATGGGAGGAAGGATGCCAGGGGGGGGGGGCGATGATGACGACGACCGTCCAGTTTCGGCGATGGTGAAGAAAGGGCTTAAAGAGGATGATCTCGAAGAGAGGTCGAAGTTGTGGATCGATTGCGACGCATTCTGGGGTCAGGGACCGAGGAAGCCATTGAGGGAGGCGGTAGGTGATTGCACGGACTACTTCGTCGCCATCGCCAACGGGGATGCAAGAGCGGAACCGCCTTCGATGCTGGTAATGCCGCCGAATGATGTGCCGTGCTTCAAGATCGACGACCCTGCGCAGCGTGAACCGGCTCTGCACTGAGCGCGCAACGTGGAGAAAGTGGTGTTGCGTGCCATCCACGGGTGGATCTTCAAATCGTCGTCGAGGTCGACAGGCTTCGCTCGTGCAGAATCGTACGTGACAGTGGACTTCGCAACAGACGTCGCGCAAGCAGTCTGGCAGGCTTTAGAATGGTCGAAAGTCCTTTCCCCTGACCTTGTCTACCACACGCTGGCGATGAAGATGGACGTGCCTCTGTGGTTCGCTGGAGTGAAGATTGTGGATAGGCCCGAAGACGACGACATGGCGGCGCGGCAGGAGGCGACAGTTCTTCGCCTGGCAGACTGTTGGACAGATGTTGTTTGGTGTGGGCAATGGGCGGACGGTGGCCGCGTCAAACAAGACAGGTTGACGTGCCTTGCGGATTGTCTTCGAGTTTTGTTGAGCGCGTGCATGTGGATCATGCGGATGGGCGGTGACGATGACCGCTCGCACTACGAGGCATCATTCTACGCGTCCATGATCGCCAAACCAACACTCATAGCGGCGGGCTCCTACATCTTCAACTGGCGGCGGCACATCGTTGACACCGCCAACCTCGTCTTGGATCGTTTGGGGAAGGCCCACCTCACGTTTGGGGAAGGCCCACCTCACACGAATTCCCCCGCGGAAAGTGCTTCGCTCGCTTCAGACTTCTCTCGCAACGCCTGACACATGCAAAAGTACAATTTTTTGGATGGACTCTCTTCGGAGCACGTGTTGCACTCGTTCGGATTCGCAGCTCCAGCAGCAGTGAAGCGGAGGACCTGCGAGTTTACGCGAGTTGCAGGCAGGGATGGCCGCTGCACGTGCGCACGCTGGCGAACGTGGAGTCTGACATCTTTCGCAAGGAAAGCTGACAGGATCCGCGAGGGTGCTGTGCGGCGAAACTTACGCGAATTGCCTGCCGTCCGGCAAGGCCCTTAAGGAGACGAGGAGGGGAACAAAGATCTCCTTACTTTTTCGGGTAATACATGTAAAGTACTGACCATGGGATCACGAGTACTGCACGGCAGGATTTGGGTCACTCAACTGCCCCACAAACTCGTTTCTATCCTATCCCCTTGCAAGTGGGACCTCGCCCCCTGTGTCATTCTGCCCTTGGTGCACGACCTGCCCAGCTGGCCGAGACCGGATTTTTTTATTTCTATTAAAAAAAAAAAAAAATCCCCTTGTTGCACAGTTTCTGTCGGGGATTGCCCTTTCTGGACTTTCTGGATGCATCTGAACGCTGTTGTGTCCTGAGCGGAAAAAAGGGCCTCGCCACACTACTCCCGACTTGGCCATTTTCGGGAGTGCAGCAACGCCACACCAGCTCCCGAGTTCAAGCTGTCAGGTTGAATTCGGGAGCTGTCAGAATGTGCCTCCCCGAACTCACCGCCTGCAAGGCTTTTTTTTCGAGAGACCTCCTTCGCTCCTCCGAGTTTCATCCCAGATTCGGGAGCGGAGCCGGAAGGAACAAACGACTTCTGCCAGACTGCTTCACACTGATCGTGTCCATATGTGGCAAATGACATTTTCAGAATTTGAGCGCGGCCGGGTGGAGAGTGTAGTGTGG